TGTTCTTTTGGGATGCTCTAGTCTAAAGCATTCAGCAAGATTGTCTTGTTTGTACAGATGATATGCACCAGGGTGTTTGGCTTGCGTCCCCATCTCTCCCTGGACCTTTGTGTTTATTTTCCCAGCACGAGCTTTGAGGACTGTTGGTTTAAGGAGGTGAGAGACGAGCTTCTCTGCCGGGCTGGTTTGTTTAATGACATGTTGGATGACGGATGGTCCCCTTCCTTTGAAGTTATCTGCCCAGAAGGATTGCGTTTCCCCCTTGTGCCTAATATCTGACGCCAGGAGACAAAGTCGGAGTGGGAGCCTCCGTTTAGACAAACATCCCTCCTTTTCTCCCTTGGAGTCTTGCATTTAATCTCCCCTCTTGGTTTTTCACAACATACGTGTTGCAATCTAAAATGTGATAAATGAAGTGGGCTGGAGTTTGCACTTTCAGAGGAATAACAGAAAGTTGTATCATTCCAGGTCACTCTACAATAGAGTCAGAGCTTGGAAATGTTGTTGTTGTTAGATTACAGGTTCCAGAATCTCCAATCAGCATGATTTATATAGCCATACAGGTTGGGGGATTTGAGGAGCTAAAATCCAAAACATGACGTTTCCAAACTTTGTGTCTTCCTCATCAAGCCCATTACAGCCTCCTCTGTCCTATTGTTACTATCTAGTAGAAGATATGGATGATATGGAAAGGTTGCTCCCCTTTGCTTTGGGACAATGCAATACATTTAGGGCCAGCACTACTTAAAGAGATGGTCCATTGACCACTACTGATCCAGAACCTATTGGCTCCTAGTCAGTCAATAATAATAATAATAATAATAATAATAATAATAATAATAATAAACCCTATGATATCCTTAATATCAGAAATTACTTGAAGGCGCTCAACAAAATTGTAATACTTATTGGTGGGGACTGGATTTGTAGTTCTCTTATACATTGGAAACCACTAAGCAGGAAGAATAAGCATCGAACACAGGCCCCTTCTACAATGCCATATAAATCCAGATTATCTGCTTTGAAATTGATTATATGGTTGTGTAGAAGGGGCCCCAGTGGTTCCCAGACAATAGTTTTTTCAAACTTTACCTCTTGGAATTTCTAGCTATTAGATAAAACTGGCTGGGGAATCTGGGGACTGAAGTCCAAAAACCCAGGGGGACTAAAGTTCAGGAAGAACTAAGGCCTCTTCAACTGTCTTTGATTTGTTGTCCTTTGAGGTTGTGAGGCACTTGATTGTTTGCTGTCTGGAATTTTCCTGTTTCTGAGTGTTGTTCTTTATTTATTGCCTTGATTCTGTTTTTTTTAAAATACTAGTAGCCAGATTTTGTTCATTTTCATGGTTTCCTCCTTTCTGTTAAAATTGTCCATGTGCTTCTTGTGGATTTCAATGGCTTCTCTGCGTAGCTTGACATGATGGTGGTCCGAGTGGTCCAGCATTTCTGTGTTTTCAAATAATATTCTGTGTCCAGGTTGGCTGATCAAGCGCTCTGCTATAGGTGACTTCTCTAGTGGAATTAGTCTGCAGTGCCTTTCAGAATTAAGACAGTAAATAAGAGCCTCCGAGGAGGCCCTGCTCTCCGTCCTGCCATTGTCACAGGCGCAATTGGTGAGAACGAGAGAGAGGGCCTTCTCGGTGATTGCCCCCTGGCTATGGAACTCCCTTCTTCGTGAGATCAGATCGGCCATCTCCTTTCTGTCCTTTAGAAGGATGGTAAAAACCTGGCCGTGGGACCAAGCTTTCAGGACAGAGAAATAAAGCAGCAGTGCCTTACCAGGCCAATTAGATTAGACGCAGATGATTAAGACGGTTTTTAAACAGTGTGTTTTAATATTGAGACAAATGTTTTTAATGTTTATGTATGCATCTAATGATACCATCTCCCGGCATTGAATGTTTGACATATACATGCTGTGCTCTGCCCTGAGTCCCCTTTGGGGTGAGAAGGGTGGAATATAAATGTTTTAAATAAATAAATAAATAAATAAATAAAGAACACTCCCCAGAAACAGGAGAATTCCAGACAGCAAACAACCAAGCACCAGTTAACACCTCCCAAACAAGGGTGCCTCCAGGCACAACACCCAAGCTACCTCTAGGCAGATACCCTCACTGATTAACTTGGCAGCTTCATGACTACTCAACGCTATTCAAGCTTTTATTATATTTTTATTTTTATTATTACTACTAGCTGTCCCCTGCCACGTGTTGCTGTGGCCCAGTCTGGTGATCTGGAAAATAAAGTAATGGGAAAGTGTTGGTTTCTAATATATGTAATTCCTTTATGCTTGTGAGTAAACAGTATTTCTTGTTGTTTCTTTGTCAGTGTTGATGTGGAGAGTGTCTGGTTTGCCTACTCTGGAATATGCAACATATCATAGTCCTTCTTTAAGGGTCTCTTTCAAATCTATGATACTATATCTGTGTGTGTGAGAGAGAATCATATCTATCTATCTATATTTATGACTGGATGGCTCTTTGTCAGGAGGGCTCTGATTACATTTTCTTGCCCTGGTGAAGAGAGTTGGACTGGATGGCCTTAAGTATTTTCTGTTGGTCATGGGGGTTCTGTGTGGGAAGTTTGCCCCATTTCTGTCATTTGTGGGTTTCAGAATGCTCTTTAATTGTAGTGAACTATAAATCCCAGTAACTACAAATCCCAAATGTCAAGGTCTATTTCCTCCAAACTCCATCTGCGTTCATATTTAGGCATATGGAATTTTTGTGTCAAGTTTGGTCCAGATCCATCATTGTTTGAGTCCACAGTGCTCTCTGGATGTAGGTGAACTACAACTCCCAAACTCAAGGTCAATGCCCACCAAACAATTCCAGTGTGTTCTGTTGGTCATGGAAGTCCTGTATGCCATGTTTGGTTCAATTCCATCATTGGTGGAGTTCAGAATGCTCTTTGATTGTAGGTGAACTATAAATCCCAGTAACTACAAATCCCAAATGTCAAGGTCTATTTCCTCCAAACTCCATCTGTGTTTATATTTGGGCATATGGAATATTCGTGCCAAGTTTGGTCCAGATCCATCATTGTTTGAGTCCGCAGTGCTCTCTGGATGTGAGTGAATTACAATTTACAAACTCAAGGTCAATGTCCACCAAACCCTTCCAGTTTTTTCTGTTGGTCATGGGAGCCCTGTGTGCTAAGTTTGGCCCAATTCCATCATTGGTGGAGTTCAGAATGCTCTTTTGATTGTAGGTGAACTATAAATCCCAGCAACTACAACTTCCAAATGACAAAATCAATTTTTGAGTGAAGGACACATTAGGTTGTTACGTGTCTTGTGTCCAAATTTGGTGTCAATTCCCCCAGTGGTTTTTGAGTTCTGATGGTAGCACGAACTAACATTACATTTTTATTTATATAGATTATTATATTATTATATTATATGATTGCCATATTATATCCTATTATATTATATTATAATTGACCATGTATATTATTTTTACTATTTTATTATTATTATTATTACCATTACCATATTATATTATATTACACAGAGCAGCCATCGGAATCCACAAGCATGTGAACAATTTCAACAAAAAGGAGGAAACCATGAAAATGAACACAATCTGGTTACTAGTATTAAGAAACACCAGAATCAAGGCAATAAATAAAGAACAGGCCTATAAAGCCCTAAACGGTTCCGGCCCAAGATACCTAACTGACCGCCTCTCGGCCTATGAGCCCACGAGGACTTTGAGATCTTCCGGGGAGGCCCTGCTCTCGATCCCGCCTGCCTCACAGGCACGGCTGGCGGGGACGAGAGATAGGGCCTTCTCGGTGGTGGCTCCTCGGCTGTGGAACACCCTTCCCGTGGACATCAGGCTAGCCCCTCCCTGTTGATATTCCGCAGGAAGTTAAAGACCTGGCTGTTTAAGAAGGCATTTGATCAAGAAGTGCAATGACTGGTAATTTGACCATAGGAATGGAACAACGGAAATGATATCGGATTGTGGGCTTGACGATGAGACGACTCGGAATGGCTTTTGTAGTAATGTTGATGTTTTGATGAGATGTTTTTCTGATAATGTTGTTTTTTCTGATAATGATGAATTGTGGATTATTTTACACTATGTTTTGTAATTTGCACTATTTTTCTGTTGTACACCGCAATGAGTTGCCCTTGGGCTGAGAATTGCGGTATATAAGCGCAGTAAATAAAATAAATAAATAAATAAATAAACAACGCTCAGAAGCAGGGGAATTCCAGACAGCAAACATTCAAGTGCCTCACAACCTCAGAGGATGCCTGCCATAGATGTGGGCAAAATGCCAGAAGGGAATGCTTCTGGGACATGGCCAGACAGCCCGGAAAACTCACAGCAACCCAGTGTTTCCGACGATGAAAGCCATCGACAACACAAATCAAATGCCAGCTAACACCTTCCGGAGGATGCCTCCAGACAACAAAGGCCAGGCTACCTCTATGGAGAAACCCATACTGATTGACTTTGCAGTTGCAAGGCTACACAATGCTAATGGAGCTTGCCAATTGCAACATTCACACTTGCTTCAAACAGACAAGGGTTCTTTCTCCCACCATCATCCCACAAGTATATACACACTCCATCTCTGAGGATGCTGTTAGCCACACATGCAGGCAAAATGTCAGGCCAGAAGAGAATGCTACTGGAACATGGCCAGACAGCCCGGAAAACTCAGAGCAACCGTGATTCCAACCATGAAAGCCTTGGGCAGCTACAGCTTCCCTTTTCTTCCCAACCTTTGGACTTCAGTGGGCAGCATCTCTAAGAAAGATTGAGATCAATGAGTTGGGGATCCTGGGGACTGAAGTCCAATACGCCATTCGATCTGGTGGTGGGAAGGGAAGAGAAGAAGCACAGCCTTCCTTCTAGGTTGTTTTTCCTATTCGTTTGCTCTCAGGCAGAACTCAATGCTCGGAGCGCCTGTTTCCACACGGAGCGTTTTAAGGGACGGACCCATTGCACTTTCAAGCTGGCCGGACTTCCGCTGCAGGTAAAAGGAAGCCTGTTTCTAGGAGAAGGAGAGGGCGGTGATGGACCGAGGCCTTTTCCTTTTTCTTCCTTGCCTATTTAAGGAAGAAGGAGCCTACCAGCTGTTAGGGATTGTGGGAGTTGAAGTCCAAAATATCTGGAGGGCCTAATTTGGCCCAAGCCTGGTTTAGAGGGCATGCTGAATAAGTTTGCAGTTGAGACCACATTAGGAGGGATGGCAGGGGACAGGATCAAAGTTCACAATGGCCTCAACAGATTAGGGAGATGATTGGCCAAAACCAATGCAATGAATTTCAACAAGGACAAAAGTAGGATGTTACTCTTAGGCAGGAAAAACGAAATGCAAAGATACAAGATGGGTGACACAAAGAATCCCATGTGAAAAAGATCTTAGAGTCTTCGTTGAGAACAAGGTGAACATGAGCCAAGGATGTGACGCAGCAGCTCCAAAAGCCAATGGGATTTTGGGCTGCATCCATTTTGGGCTTCAAATGGTCCAGCAGGCAGCAGCCAGGTTGTTAACTGGAGCAGTGCTCACGGAGCACACAACTCCACTGTTGCGTCAACTCCACTGGCTGCCAGTTTGCTACCGGGCACAATTCAAAGTGCTGGCTTTAGGCTATAAGGACCTAAACGGTTCAGCCCCAGCTTACCTGTCCGAACGTATCTCTCCCTATGAATCATCTAGGAATCTAAGATCGTCTGCTCTCGATCCTGCCTTCTTCCCAGATGCGCCTGGCGGGGACAAGAGACAAGGCCTTCTCAGTGATGGCCCCTCGGCTGTGGAACTTCCTCCCTAAGGATATTAGATCAGCCCTTTCCCTTCTGACCTTCTTTGAACAAGCCTTTGGAAATGCAGTGCAATAGACAAACACAGAAATATGTAACACTGAAACATGGAACGGCTTAGACAATGCTACTGGAAAATGAAATTAACAGGAAGACATTGGTTATTATATGTTTTAATAGTTTTTGTATGGATTTTATAATGTTTTAAATGTATATTGTGGATTGTTATGGCATCAAATTGCTGCCAGCTTGTAAGCTGCCTTGAGTCGCCATTGGGCTGAAAAAGGTGGGATAGAAATATCGTAAATAAATAAATAAATCCAAAGGAGTCTAGTGTGCAGATCAAGGGAAGTCATTCGGCTTTGGTCTGTTTGGCTTTGGTCAGACCTCATTACCTGGAATAATACTATGTCCAGTCCTGGGCACCACAATTCAAGGGGAAATAATAATAATAATAATAATAATAATAATAATAATAATAATCAACTTCCCACAGTCCTAGACACTTGGGAAGTGTTCGACTTGTGATTTTGTGATACAAAATCCAGCATATAGATCTCATTTGCTGTGACATACTGTGTTTTTGTGTCAGTAAAATAATAATAACTTAAGCTGGAAGATGTCCAGGGGAAGAGGGTGACTAACAGGATCAAAGGCCTGGAGACCACGAATCCCTATGAGGAGGATCATTGTAAAGAGCTGGGTCTGTTTAGGTTTTGGAAGAGAAGGTTGACAGGAGACACGAGAACTGTGTATAAATGTGTGAAAGGGTGCCATAAGGAAGAGGGAAGAGCGAAGAGCGCCCTGGAAACTGGGACCCAGGGCCCTTCCACACAGCCCTATATCCCAGAATATCAAGACAGAAAATCCCACATTATCTGAATGTGGACTCAGATAACCCAATACAGAGCAGATATTCTGATATAGGGCTGTGTGGAAGGGCCCCCAGACTAATGGGTTCAAATGACTGGAAAAGAGATTCCACCTGAACATTAGGAAGAACTCCCTGACTGTAAGAAGAGTGGTTCAGCAGTGGAACTCTCTGCCTCAGAGTGTGGTGGAAGCTCCTTCCTTCAAAACCTTTAAACAGAGGCTGGATGGTCATCTGTTGGGGTGTTTTGATTGTGTTTTTCTGCATCGAAGAAGGGTTAGACTAGATGGCCCATGTGGTCTCTTCTATGATTCTATTCTTATCATTTTGTCACACACACCTCGTCCCCATTTGCACTTCCCTTTGGTATTGCAGACATGGATCCCGAAGATGCAGGAGAAGCGGCAGCTGAGTTGCAAGGCAAAACCGTGGATGGCTGGGGCCTCTTCCAGATTGCTGCCGGCACCGGCTTGACTGCTTACGTCGTCTGGGCAGGGATTCTTATGCCAGGATTCCGCAAAGTGCCTTTAAAGCTGCAGGTGAGGAGTTTTGAAAATGGAGGTGTGCATTAGACTTGATGGGGCATTCAGCTCAAGTAAATATGGGTATATATACAGCATACATAACCTGCCATTTGTAACGCACCTACAAAGACAAGTTTCTGTTTATTGATGCTAGGTGATTCACATTCACACAAATAAATACAATATGCAAGAAGGCAACAATATAAAACATTCAGGTTAAGATACAACATACCATTAAGCTATAACACCAAAGCTAAAACTCAGCAATAAGTTTCGCCCCAAATAATTTATTTTTAAGTATAGAATGAAAGATTTTCATGAGATATGCTGTGCCCCCAAACATTTAATTATGATAAATTGCATCTGTCTGTATCCCTTATAAGGGACTACCGCAATGGAAATGGTTGTATCTCATCACAGCACCTTAAACACAAAGCTTGTGTTAGATTTATTTTTATCACAGTGATTTTTACTCTTCTTATATTAGGATAGATACGTAGACATCTAAGCCTATTCCCATCACTATAAATAATAATTATTTCCAGTGTCTTTGTCCTGACTAGTAGTACTATGGCCCTTCCCAACAGAGCTTGCTTTTTTCTCTCATCCAGGTGCCTTATGTTCCAGCAAGTATCAAGCAAGTAGAGAATGTCATGTCACTGCTGAAAGGACGCTCAGGAAAGATGGTTGATTTGGGATCCGGAGACGGCAGAATTGTAAGCACAGCATGCTGCCTAAGCGAGATGTGCAAAGAGACATTGTGAGAAGGAAAATACAATATGATATAGAGAATTGGCTCCAAAGAAGAGGCTTAGGTCTCAAGCTTACATTCCACATGGAATAAAATACCCTTCTGCTTACACAAGTTTTTCCATTAGAGAAAGTCATCCCAGCATTTTCTGAAATCCTCTAAATTGCCTCCCACGAGATAAATAACTGAAATGCTGTGACTGAAAAAAGAACCTTTCGAATCACTTTATAAATAAGTCCCTTGCTAACTAGACAGCTCAAGAAAGAACAGATGCTGTGTCCAAACAGTGGTGTTTTCTGTAAACCCAACAATAGAGCTAGAAGCTTGTATGCTAGGATAGAAATGTAGAAATACTAAGGATAGATAAATAAGCAAGCTTCTGCTTACTTACTTTATGATTCGTTTGTTTGATGTTTGCTGTCCTTTGAATTTGCACCTGCTCAAAACTTTTTTCCTGTTTATCCTGCTCAGTACAAAGAATCGGCCAGCTAGAAAAGTTGTCTTTTTAGTTATAGCTTCTGGATTCACAGTTGGCATGGGCAGTAGCCAGGGAATCTTGGAACTGTAATATGCAAAGTAATTTCCTGAGACTTGATGGCTGTATTGCCTCCAGGTATTGGAGGCCTACAAGCAAGGCTTCAGGCCAGCCATCGGCTACGAACTCAATCCATGGCTTTTGCGATGGTCCGGCTATCGTGCCTGGAAGGCCGGCTGCTACGGAAAGGTCTCTTTCCTTCGAGAAGATCTTTGGAAGGTGAGATAGAAGTTCTTGTGGAGGGGAATTCTGTGTATGGCAACAAGACAGGTAAGACCCTTAAAGGTCTCAAATAAACCTTTCTTGGCCTTGAAACAGGAAACATTTGTGTGTGACCTTTAAGACTCTTGCCTGAGCTTTGAAGGTGTGCTGCAATTGACTTCTTCAGATGAACAAAGTATAATCTTCAGGGATCTCAGGCAGTGCATGGCTGTAGATTTAGATCTTCGAGCCTCTAATATTATTTTGCATGCATATATGGACATTGAATGTAATCCATGAATCTTCCTGCTATAATATATTTGCACATCTCAAAGCTGACCCATGATTCTAGAAACTGTTGTCTTGAATATAAGGCCGGAAGTGACCTTGGATCGAAGTGGATAAGGATTGAACTTGACCAGGCTAATCAGTTATGCTATTTGTCTCTTCCCTCATCCCATTTTTAAAGGTGAATCTCTCAGACTGCAAGAATGTCACAGTGTTTCTGGCTCCCAGTGTGGTAAGTACAATCTTTTTGTAGAGACAGATGTGGGAGGAAGCATATATCAATATTCAGTAGTTCGTTCATCCATATTCAGTAGTTTTGGGAATATGTAAAAATCACCAATCTTGAATTACCCAACAGCTCTGCTCAGAGTATATAGACTCTTGACTGGCAGCTACTTTCACGCCATCTAGCTACCTGTAATGTGGTGTCCTTCTTTTTTCCTAATGCCTCCCTCTTTGCCAAGTATTGTAGTTTTTTCTAGCAAACCCCATTGATTCATGAGATGTCTGAAGTAACATAGTTTGGTCATGTTGGTTTTGAGAAGGAATTCCAGCTTGGTTTCTTCTCAGATCCATTCATTTGGGTGTGAGTTTTCTAGCCCAGTTAAAGATGTGGAATCTAGAGTTATCCATCTGTAACTTGGAAATCAGAAATACAAAGGCTCGGATTTTGGTATTCAGTCATTGAGCTTCTGAGGTGAGAGGTGCACACACTCTTAATTCCGCAGTGTCTGCCCTTCCTTTTCCAGTTGCTGCTTCTGGAGAGGAAGCTGCTTCTGGAACTTCCAGAGGATGCTCGCGTTGTTGCAGGCCGCTTCCCTCTCCCCAACTGGATCCCAACCACAACAGCTGGAGAAGGAGTGAACCAAACCTGGGCTTATGATATCAAGATGATACGGGGAATTCAGCAGGACAAATCAGATGGAAGCCCAGTCTAAGAACTGGCCAGCTTAGAAAGTTATGATTGCAAAGAGGCTATTGTTGAGCCTTTGGACTCCATAGTGGGAAGTGGAGATATGAACTCCTCCTGCCACCTTCCTCCCAAAGAAATCATTTGAACTGGGATTTTTCCCATTAGAACAAAGCTTTCCAGACTTTACTGTATCAGCTGCTAGCTGCAAGTGTGTCGCACGAATTTAATGAGAAATTTCTGAATCTATGTGAAATAAACAATTTTTGAAAATATAAATGGAAGATTTTCACAAGATACGTTGTGTCCCCATCCATTGCATTATTTACAATTTATGTATGTATCTGTATCTCTTATAAGGGGTTAATTTAATCTCTGGTTTGCTGGAGAAATTGAATTACAGTGTCACAAAATGAAGCATGCATAAGAAGTCTGTCATCAACTTATGAAATGTTCGAAAAGCTCTGCATCAGAATCTCCTTACTAACTAAATGCTGTCTTGTTCCCTTCAAGTGGCCATTCCAAGTATTACAGCTTTTACATTTTAAGAAAAAAAAAAGAAGCAAACTTTAATGCAGCACAAGGCAGCCAGCAGTGGGATTCACTTAACTTTTCATAGTCTGGCCCAGGCATGGGCAAACTTCGTCCCCGCAGATGTTTTGCACTTCAATTCCCATTATTCCTAACAGCCTACCAGCTGTTAGGAATTGTAGGTGTTGAAGTCCAGAACACCTGGAGGGCCAAAATTTGCCCATGACTGTTCTAGCCTATCTCACTGGTTTGTGAGAAATATCTTTTTGCACTGCTCTGAGTGAACTCTGCTTCCTGGAATCTTTCTGAGGGACAGAAATGTACTAAATGTCCAGTTTGCTGTTTGGACCAAGATGCCCATCCTTTTGAGGATGCTACACTTTCATCATAGTTCATGGTGACATAGAGGTTATGTTTCATTGTTGACATTCCTCTTGGGTTTTGAAGCCTTGGGGGCGTTGTAAGCCCTGCCGCTAGATGCCCGGAGGCCATCTGTTCCTAGAAGTTTCCTGAGCCGCAAAATCTCTTCCTTGTACCTACGGAAGAAGCAAAACAAATGTACTGTCAGCCCAGTGTTGTGGCACTAAACCATCCTTAGGCTCACTTATCCTTGGCGCTCAGGTGGCAAGAATCAAATACGTCTACTTCAGAGGAGCAAATTATGTGGCCTTCCAGATATTACTTGAGAGCCAGGAGGACATGGTGGATTAAGTGTTGCTCTAGGAGACTTGGGCTGGTCAATCAGGGAGGCTCACTGGTTGATGATAATAATAATGATGTTGATAATTAATAAATAAAGCTGTATTTGTATCCCTCCATCATCTCCCCGAAGGGACTCAGGGCGGCTCACTCAATAGTGCAACAACACACAGAATAAAGCGAGGTACATGAACATATAAATCCACAACAAGGTAAATTTACATCACAGTTTACATAAAACAACATATAAAACCCCTACTGATTAAAAAAATCCAGTAAAACGCAGCAAAGGCTGCTGATATAAGTCCCATAAAGTGCTAATGTGAAACAATCACTAGGTCCTTGAGTTTAATAATTAAAGTGCAAATCCTGGTCAAAGGCTTGTTTAAAAAGCCATGATTTCAGATGTGTCTGGAAAACTTGGAGAGAGGGAGCTAGCCTGATCTCTCTAGGGAGGGCATGCCAAAGCTGGGAGGCCACCACCAAGAAGACCCTCTCTCATCCCCACCAACCACGCTTGAGATGGAGGTGGGACCGAGAGGAGGGCCTTCTCAGCAGATCTTAGCACTCGTGCTGGCTCACAGAAGGTGATACAGTTTCAAAGATAGGTTGGACCTAAGCCTACAGGGCTTTGTAGGTAATAACCTGCACTTGGAATTGGGACCAGAAACGTGTCAGCAATCAGTGTAGCTGCTTTAATAAGGTGTGGTATGCTCCCTATAACCAGACCCAGTTAGTAATCTAGCTACCCACCTTTGCACTAACTGCAGTCTCAGGATCATCTTCAAAGGCAGCCCCATGTGGAGTGCATTGCAGTAGTCCATTCTAGATGTAACTAAGATATGGACCACTGTGGCCAAGTCAGGCTTTTTGAGGTATGGTCACAGATGGCGCACAAGCTTTAAATGCCATCCAGCCACGGCCGATACCTGAGCCTCAAGCATCAGGTCTGAATCCAGGAGGACCCCCAGACTGCGGACGTGTGTCCTCAGGGGGCGTGTAACCCCATTGAGCACAGGTTGCCACCCTAGACCCCGATCGGCCTCACGACTAACCAGGAGGACCTCTGTCTTGTCTGGATTAAGCCTCAGCTTGTTGGCCCTCATCCAGTCCATCACAGCTGCCAGGCACCAGTCCAGGATCCTGGGAGTTTCCTTGGATTTAAGTTGAAATTAGTAAAAGAGTTGTGTGTCATCTGCATAGGGATGACACCCAACTCTAAAACTATGGATGATCTTGCCCAGCGGTTTCATGTAGATGTTGAAGAGCATGAGGGAAAGAATCGAACCTTGCAGGACCCCACAGATCAGTGGCCAGGGGTCCGAGCCGGTGTCACCCAGTATCACCATTATGATCCTCCAGGAAGGATCAACATTCACAGCATTTTAAAAGTTGGTTGAAATTTTCAGGCAGTGTTTTTGCTCCAAACCATACAAAAAGCCTCCCGGAGTATGAAAACATCTAAAGTGAGCCAAAATACAAAGCAGCAGGAAGTCAGGCATGACATTGTGTGATAAGTACTGCCAGAGACAGTATTATCTTGCGGAAATTCCACTTTGCCATCCTCATGTGATAAAAGTCCTCTAAGTATCATAACTTTTTAAAAAATGCACACAGGGCTCTTTAAATATATGACAGCATTATCTCAATGTCTAAAAATGCGAATAGATCAGAGATCCAGCAGACAAGCTAAACATCAGCCTCACCTCCCCAGATGCTTATCCACATAGTCCTGCAGTTCAGCCACCTGTTCTTCTGCCACCATGGCCCGTGTCAACAACTGGCTCCTCTCCTTTTCTAAGTCCTCCTGTGGTTGTAAAGAGGCAAGAAGAGCTTGATTGACCAACTGGTTGATATGGAAAGCCTGCATTCTTCTCCTTGTGGGCCTTCAAAGTGTCCCGTAAATGTCCAAAACTAAGAGTTCAGAACTCTTGTGTAGGAACCCGCTTGCCAGAAGGAATATGCACAAAACACCCTGCTACTACGAGTTCCCTCAGCACTGCCATGTTCTTGGAGAGCTTTACCTGAGTGCGGTGAGTGAATTCTCGCAGCTGCTTCCTGAGCTGCTCCCAGCCTGCCTCATCCATGGTGCTGAGAAATAAAAAGGAGGAGGAAAATGGTACTGAGAAGAGTCACAGGTGATCCCTTATGGCAGAGATGAGACCAGCCCCCCCACCCCACCCGCAAAGCAGTGTTAGAAAAAAATCTCTGACACAGGCACAGGAAGCCAATAGGGCAAACCAGTCATTTTGGAATCAATAGAGAGGAGGTTCTTTGGGGATTCTGTTCCATAAAGCTTGCTAACATGAGTATCCCATTTGTTGTTGTTTATTCGTTCAGTCACTTCTGACTTCGTGACCTCATGGACCATCCCACGCCAGAGCTCCCTGTCAGCCGTCACTGCACCCAGCTCCTTCAGAGTCAAGCCAGTCACTTCAAGGATGCCATCCATCCATCTTGCCCTTGGTCGGCCCCTCTTCCTTTTCCCCTCCATTTCCCCCAGCATTATCGTCTTCTCTAAGCTTTCCAGTCTTCTCATTATGTGGCCAAATACTTCAACTTTGCCTCTAATATCCTTCCCTCCAATGAGCAGTCGGGCTTTATTTCCTGAAGTATGGACTAGTTGGATCTTCTTGCGGTCCAAGGTCCTCTCAGAATTTTCCTCCATCACCACAGCTGAAAAGCATCTATCTTTCTTCGCTCAGCCTTCCTTACGTTCCAGCTCTCACATCCGTAGGTTACTATGGGAATACCATTGCTTTAACTATGCGGATCTTCGTTGCCAGTGTGATGTCTCTGGCTAGGGGGACTAATTGGTGTGATGGAACCAGTCTGACTGCGTACCAGTAAAAAATATATCCTAAAACCATTTCTCTTTCTTTTCCATCACAGCTAGCGCTCATTATTTCCATTGCATACTACCATGTGTATCCCCCCCCCCCCCCCCGTTTTATGCATGCCTTATAAGATAATCTCATGGAAGTTAAAATGTCAAGAGAAGTGGTGTCCTTATTTATTTATTTAAGTGTCTGTCAGAAGTAATTTATTAGAGCTTGTCGGGCACCTTTACATTCTAGATCAATAGTTTTCAACCTGTGGGTGCCCAGATGTTTTGGCCTTCAACTCCCAGAAATCCTAACAGTTGGTAAACTGGCTGAGATTTCTGGGAGTTGTAGGCCAAAACACCTGGGGACCCACAGGTTGAGAACCACTGTGCTAGATCAAACCATCTGTTGATTACTGCTCTATTAGCATTGAATTGTTTGTTGCAGACCAGTTTGGCTCTGAGGTTTTGAATTATGGTCTGAGAAGCAAGTAAAATGTCTAGACGAGAATCTAAAATATCTTGATGACGAGATTTAGAATCAATGCTTTTGAACACTACTCTAGAAATCTCTAGGTTCTCGAATATGATTTGGAAGAAATCGGTCAAACGCTGGAAAAGCTAGCTATTCCTAGAGAGAGAGAAAATAGCGATTTTACTATTTTTCCCTATTGTGGGGGTCCTATGCCCCTAACCTAGTGAATGTAGAAGGCTGACTATACTGATCTGGATGAAGCAGACTTTACATATTTTTGGGTCCCTCAGCCTCAGGGCAACATTGCTGTGCTACCTTCTTGCAAGGTAAGTCTTTGTGAATGTATACAAACCACACCAGGAGCCCCCTATTATTGCACCAATGAAGTATTCTCTGAAATAGCAGGCTTCATCGGTGAGAAATGTTACTGGTATGAGACCCTGGACTGTCAGTTCTTGTATTTGGGGGGCAGGGGAATACGTGTATTGTACTTATGGGCAAATCCACTTATTTCACTGCGGTGGCTTAAGCCGTGAGGAGAGGTGATCTGATTGTGAGGAAATATGCAGGCCAGCCGTGGGAAAGTTCCCCAGTCTGTCCGGGGACTGCATGAGCAAAATATAGGTCACATTTGATGTCTGGGGGAATTCTTCCGACTGTATAGAAAGGATGGTATGAACTGAGGAATGCATTGTGCTCCCTTTGGCATGCCTTTGGAGAAGGCCGGCTTGCCCTCTAGCGGGCATCCGAGGCACAGAAGGGAGAAAGATCCCCTGGTTCCATATTCCAGCAGTCCCAGCTCACTATAGGATGAATCATTTTCAAGGGAGATGGGTTGGCATTTCAGCTTGAGGCATGCATATTGATGGTAGGAATGGTGTCAGTTAATATGATGGCAATGGAGATGTGGAGCACATAGGCTTGTCACTTTGGTTTGTGTTGTTGTCAGACTGCTCTCAGCCATCTTCACCAACCTGCAGCCAAACTTCGTAATTACAACCATGATGAACTTCCCTAAAGATCCAGCTCAGGCTCCCGATAGTAATAATGACAATATACTTTATTTATATTCCACTTTATCTCCTCAAAAGGTTGGCGGTTTGAATCCGGGGAGCAGGGTGAGCTCCTGCTGTTAGGCCCAGCTTCTGCCAACCTAGCAGTTCAACAACACACAAGTGTGAGTAGAGCAATAGGTACCACTTCTGCTGGAAGGGAATGGCACTCCATATAGTTATGCTGGCCACATGACCTTGGAGGTGTCTAGGACAATGAAAGCTCAGCTTAGAAATCGAGATGAGCACCAGCCCCCAGAGTCGGACACAACTAGACTTAATGTCAAGAGAAACGTTTACCTTTACCTATATTCTCCTCTATCTCCCCGAGGGGACTCAGGGTGCATTACAGAACTCATATACGGCCAACATTCAATGCCGTTATACAATTGACAAGGACAGACAATACATAAACAGAGGTATAGGCTTTTCCTATCTTCGGCATCTGGAGGCCATGCTCGACTCTGGTCACAGGAAGGTGCTGTTGCTTCATCTTCCATGCTGAGGAGCTTTTGTTGTCCATAAATGTCCTCCCAATCGAATCAACGGAATGTCCTTATGGTCGCCTTTTATTCCCTCCCCACTTAAAGCGGTACCTATTTATCTACTCTCATTGCTGTTTTTGATCTGCTAGGTGAGCAGAAGCTGGGCTGACAGCAGGAGCTCACCTCAACCCGGGCTTGAACTGTCAACCTTTCAGTGGGTAAGATTTTCTGCAGCTGGTGGTTAACCCGCTGTGCTAAAGCTTGGCACAAATACCCAATATTACCTCTAAACTCAATCTAGAGAGCCACAATAACATATCATTGGATTATGACTCAGGAGGCCAGAGTTCAAATCCCAGCCCAGCCAAGGAAACGCCGTGGGAAAATCACTTTTAGCAGACTGTCTCTGGACCAATCTTGCCGGCGCAGTCTGGCTTTAGGCCGGGGCATGGTACCGAGACAGCCTTGGTCGCCTTAGTCGATGATCTGCCCGGGAGCTCGACAGGGGGAGTGTGTCCCTGTTGGTGCTGCTGACCTCTCAGCGGCCTTCGATACCGTCGACCACGGTATCCTTCTTGGGGCGCCTCGTGGGAATGGGCCTGGGGGGCACTGTGCAGTGGCTCAGGTCCTTCCTAGAGGATCGTACCCAGAAGGTGTTACTGGGGGACACTGCTCGTCCTCACAACCATTGACTTGTGGGGTCCCGCAGGGTTCAATACTGTCCCCCATGTTGTTTAACATCTACATGAAGCCGTTGGGAGAGATCATCCGGAGTTTCGGGGTGCGGTGTTATCTGTACGCAGATGACGTCCAACTCTGTCACTCCTTTCCACCTACTACTAAGGAGGCTGTCCAGGTCCTGAACCGGTGCTTGGCCGCTGTGTCGGACTGGATGAGGGCGAACAAATTGAAACTCAATCCAGACAAGACAGAGGTACTCCTGGTCAGTCGGAAGGCCGAACAGGGTATAGGGTTACAGCCTGTGCTAGACGGGGTCGCACTCCCCCTAAAGGCACAGGTTCGCAGCTTGGGTGTGACTCTGGATTCTTCGCTAAGCTTGGAACCCCAAGTTTCAGCGGTGTCCAGAGGAGCATTTGCACAGCTTCGGCTCGTGCGCCAGTTGCGCCCGTATCTTGGGAAGTCGGACTTGGCCACGGTAGTCCACGCTCTTGTCACATCCCGTATAGATTACTGCAACGCGCTCTACGTGGGGTTGCCCGTGAAGACTGCCCGGAAGCTTCAGATGGTCCAGCGTTCGGCAGCCAGGTTGCTAACGGGAGCGGCACTCAGGGAGCACACCACTCCTCTGTTGAGCCAGCTCCACTGGCTGCCAATTTGCTACCGGGCACAATTCAAGGTGCTGGCTTTAGCCTATAAAGCCCTACACGGTTCCGGCCCCACTTACCTCTCCGAACGCATCTCCACCTATGAACCGGCGAGGTTGTTAAGATCGTCTGGGGAGGCCCTGCTCTCGGTCCCACCAGCGTCACAGGTGCGGCTGGCGGGAACGAGGGACAGGGCCTTCTCAGTGGTGGCCCCCCGGCTATGGAATGCCCTACCAGCGGACATCAGGCAGGCCCCTTCGCTATTGGCGTTTAGGAGGAGGGTTAAGACGTGGCTCTTCGAACAGGCGTTCGGTTAAGCATGCAAGAATAACCAACTCAGAAGACGGCATACTGAACAAGGAATGGTAAAACGACTATGAGAACTGGATCTGATTCTAAGTAGGCGTTGATGATGATGTGTATTGTTTGTGGATGTGCGTCTTATATATTGTTCACTGTTTATTTTTACTGTAAACCGCATTGAGTTGCCGTTCCAGGCTGATAAATGCGGTATACAAATAGAGTAAATAAATAAATAAATAAATAAACTCCATAAGGGGCCCCATTATGGTAGCCATAAGTTGTAAAGGACTCGAGTCTGGTCTCTTTCACACTGCCAAATTATAAAAGTTCAATCCCACTTTAACAGCCGTAGCTGCATCTGATGAAATCCTGGGATATGTAGTTTGGTGAACCAAATAGAATCCTCTAAGTGCCATCGACTGAGCTATACCATCAGAACTCCTTTGCAGAAAACACTAAATACCTCACCAAAGTACAAATCCTAGGATTCCATAAGTTGGAGCTACAGCCATTAAAGCGGCATCAAATTTCTGTACCAGTGTACTGTGAAAGATTGGAGCCCTCTATTCTTTCGTATTACTCCTTCAAAGTGGTGGAAATAAATGCTGTTTCATAACTGCCTCGAACTGCAGTCCTACGCTGCATAGAACTGACCATCCCTGTGCTGACTGTATAAATATAGTTTCAAACTGCATTCAATGGTGGTGTAGATGAAGCCACAGAAAATGTTTCTGGTACCTGTGTCTGACTCCATAAAAAGGAGAACTGGTACTCACTGTGCAGGTGTTGTCCTGGGACCAGCGTTTTCACTCAGCTTTACCTGCAAAGCAAGTGAAAAAGTAAGAAGGGCTGTTTTGATCCAATATTCACCATTGAACCTATTTGCAAGTATACATTTAAAATGTCAGAATTTGTAAACCATAATGGAAAAAACACACTTTGAAACCATTTCCAACTTGTATCATATGGGACTTAATGTTATTGGATGCAACATTTTATATATAGGCCAGGCATGGACAAACTTGGGTCCTCCGGATGTTTTGGACTCCAACTCCCACCATTCCTAACAGCCTCAGGCCCCCTTCCTTTTCCCCCTCAGCTGCTTAAGGTCCTTGGTACCTATCAAAAAGAAGAGAAAACTCCAGTATATTACCCCCCACTTTTCAAACTATCTGTTTTCAAACAGTAGTGATGGCACCAGGGATGGTAAGGCGATGGTCCAGCTTGGCCAAAATAATCTCAGGCTGAGTGGACCATGTAGACTCCACATCATTGCATGGCTCGGGGATGGAGCGTGTGGTCCCTTTCAAGGCCAGTCCACAGTAAGTGACTGGTGTAGATGAGAACTATGGTGATTCATCAAGACATTCTCTAATCTACTGTATTTACTCAAGTCTAACACCTTTTTTTGAATAAATCACCTTTCCATGTGCCTTCTCAGGCAATCCCTCATAACCTGAGGATGATGGTCCTCCAAGTGTAGTGTCTTGGCAAGGATCTGTAGGCAATTGTGGAGCCCTATTCTTGATCCGCATGTTCTCCCGCAGTAAGAACATCAGTTTCCAGGTAGAAGGTGGTCCTGGGCAGGGTTGGCTTGACACGTCTTTCTCTTGGCACATTTCTCTCTTTTGCCCTCCATTTGTGCCTCTTTGAATTCTGCAGCACTGCTGGTCACAGCTGACCTCCAGTTAGAGTGCTCAAGGGCCAGGGATTCCCAGTTCTCTGTGTCTATGCCACAGTTTTTAAGGTTGGCTTTAAGCCCATCTTTAAATCTCTTTTCCTGCCCACCAACATTATGTTTCCAGTTCTTGAGTTGGGAGTATAGTAACTGCTTTGGGAGACAGTGATCAGGCATTCGGACAACATGGCCAGTCCAGCAGAGTTGATGGTGTAGGAGCATTGCTTCAATGCTGGTGGTCTTTGCTTCTTCCAGCATGCTGACATTTGTCCTCCTGTCTTCCCAAGAGATTTGCAGGGTTTTTCAGAGGCAACACTGATGAAATCATTCCAGGAGTTGAATGTGACAACTGTAGAAAGTCCACATTTCACAGGTGTATAACAGGTTTGGGGGGACAATAGCTTTATAACCAAGCACTTTGGTACCCCTACAGTTGTCCCAGTCCTCAAACACTCTTTGCTTCATTCAGAAAATTCTGCACTCGCAGAGCTCAGGCGGTGTTGTATTTCATGTGCATTAGATTCATGTTATACAGCCACACCTTAGTGCTGAGCCAAAGCCAAAGGGGAAGCTGATTCAGGAGCTGCACCTGGAGCTCCTATTTGAGGAACATCATCTTTTATTTCACTGCAATGACTCAATGCTATGCCATCCTGGGATTTGCAGTTTGGTGAGGCATCAGCATTCTTTGGCAGAGAATACTCAAGGCCTTGCGAAACTGCATCCCCGTGACTCCATAGCACAGGAGCATCCAGTTTCCTTTCCATTGCAGGAAGCTTTGGTGCCCTAACACTTTTGCTTTTAAAGAAGGAATCCTAACCAGGCAGCAACATTAATGGCCATGTTACAAAAAGTGCACTTTATGCTGCAAATACGTCAGCAAATACTTTTCTGTGGGTTTCTTCGGTGTTTTGAAAATTGAGGTTTGTATTAGATTCGATGGCACATGAGATTCGAGCCAATATGGGTATGTCATCTGCATCCCATCCTTTCTACCCAAAGTGAGATGGATCCTGGATGATCTACTGCCATCCAAGTAACAGAAACTAGCATCCAAGCAGGGTCACCTTCATCTGCAGTTCGTGGAGCTGGCCTTCCAGGCTTGCTTTGTCTTCCCGGAGCCGGTTCAGCTCTTGAGAGGTGTTGGTCAGCAACTCGGCATCAGTGATGCTGAAATTGTGTTCTGGCGGGCCAGGATCCAGGTTGTTGCTGCCCAGGGACCGGATCTGTTCGCGCTGCATCCTGCCACCAACAAGAAATAGTTATTGGTCAGGCTTGGAAAGAGTTGGATTTATTGGAGTAACAGAGCATTTACAGTCATCTTGGAACCTTGCATTTGGCTGCTCAGTGTCTAAACCAGGTACGGGCAAACTTCGTCCCTCCAGGTGTTTTGGACTTCAGCTTCCACAATTCCCAGCAGCTGGTTGGCTGTTAGGAATTGTGGGAGTTGAAGTCTAAAACACCTGGAGGGACGAAGTTTGCCCATGCCTGGTCTAAACAAGCGAGACATTTCGTGCTCCTTGTTCTGTGCCTTCAAGCCATTTCCACCTTAAAGCTACACGATAGTAAACCTATTATGGATTTGTTTCTGAGGCTAAGAGTGTGTGACTTGTCCAAGGACATCGAATGGGCTTCCATGGCTGGGAAACCCTGTTCTCCACAATCATGGTCCAGTGCTCAACCCACGATTTATTATTTATTTATTTACAGTATTTATATTCCATCCTTCTCACCCCACAGGGGACTCAGGGCGGATTACAATGTACACATATATGGCAAACATTCAATTCCAAAGACACACAACAGATATAGACAGACTGTCAGAGGCTATTTAACTTTTCTGGCTGCCAGGGGAGCTGTTGCTTTCATCGTCCATCTGCGACACTGATGAAGTACTTCCGCATTTCCAGCATGCTTTGCTGGAGTGCTTTGCTGAAGTCTTTTTTATGGCCTTGTAAATTAGTTAAATTAGTCTCCCCACACATAGGTGGTACCTAATTTTCCTACTTGACAGATGCAACTGTCTTTCGGGTTGCAAAGGTTGACAACAAGCTACACAACACGACCCGGGCTGGCTTTGAACTCATGACCTTTTGGTCAGATGTGATCTTAATGCAGCTGACACTCAGCCAGCTGCGCCACAGTCCATGATGCCATACTGGCCTCCTTTTCTGATCCTACCTGTATGCAACCAGCAGCCCCTCGTGTTTTTTGACCATGTTCTGCAGGCGTTTCTTATAGCCTCGAGCGGCTCCAGCCAGCTGCTCTTCCCGGGTCTTGTAGGATGCCCGGATGTCCTTCAGCATGCTGTCCACAAAGCGCTTCATGTGAGCAGGCTCTGAGGGTGCTTTGCCAGCCTTTGTTACAGCAGTAGCTGATTTGTTGTCCATGTATTCCTTGAAAAACACAGGGTTTGAGGAGGGCTGGGTTATTAGTAGTGGAACTTCAACCAATGCTTCAGGACCCTTGCTAGCTGGAAACCCCACACTGATGCTGTTGGCGATCCCTTTCTCAAACTTCTTGTACACTGATGCTGTCAAGAGGCAGAGAAATGCCTCGGTAGCCACAGATTGCCCACTTTTGTTCCAAATGCACGCTCACTACTGGCCCTTTAGAAACCTTGGATTTCTAATAATAATAATCATCATCATCATCTATATAAATAAAAATTTAATGTTCATTTGTGATACCATCAGAACTCAAAAACCACTGGGGGAATTGGCACCAAATTTGGACACAATACACCTAACAACCCAATGTATGTTCTCCACTAACCCCCCCCCCCAAAAAAAACACTTCCCCCTCCCTTCCCCCACCCCCCTTAGAAAGACGTTCAACTGTAAGCCTTAGGGAGGGAGGGGGAGGGAAGGAGTGCACCGTGCATGGCCAGCAGCGAGTGCGCATGCCCAGCAGGCTCCCATGTAGGCCCTCCCTTCAGGAGCTGGAGGAAAAGCCCTCATCCCCGCAGGCCTGCTACCCTGTCACTATCCTTTACATCAGGGGTGATGTAAAGCACTTCGGCAGGTGCAGAGGAGGCCGGGCTCCCTCCTCCTCCTCTTCCAAGGAGTAAACTTGCAACTGAAGGAAAGGAGGGATGGGGGGCACATTAGGAGCTGAGGGGAAAGAACAAACAAAAAGAGGTAAACAACACTTTAGATTTACTTTGTGCCTTCACTCTGCAGCAATGCCCTTCTTTTTTCGATTCTCCATGCTCCAACATATCGGAGGAAGCAGCAGCAGCAAAAGAGGCAGAGAGAGAGGGGGGGAGAAGCAGGAAGGGAGACGGACTCTCCTCTCTCTCTATCTCTCTCTCTCCCTCTCCCTCTCCCTCTCCCTGCAGCATCCACCGGATTCCTGGCTATGGCTCTGCAGGCTTCCAGCCCCATGCTAACTTTAAGTTTGTGTCACATGGCTCCTGGGGGGGGGGGGCCAAGGATTACCCTGCCCACCACTCTCCAGGGCCAGCAAGAGTGACCAAAAGCTTTATTTACTGCAGAGGAGGCTCCTGTTTGGAGGAGAAAAGGTGAGAGGCAGGAGCCGGAGATTGGGGGCTGAGGCCTGCAAGAGGAGAAGTTTTGTGGGCAAAGATTCTTGGAATTGCTGGGTGCCTCTGAGCATGTGCAGAGTGATTCCTTGAGCTTTCCAAAGGTGATGGATTGATACAAAACACTCCCAAAGGTGATACAAAACACTGGGGATGATGGGAGATGCCTTTGAGAAAAGATGGGAGATGAAACTAGGAGGGGTGCATCTGCACTGGGAAATTAATGTGGTTCAGTAGCATTTTAACTTAGTTCAAGGCTGTGGATCCCTGGGAGTTGTAGTTTGACAAGGCCTTGGGCTGCTTCTACAATGAATGCAGTTCAGTACCACTTCCGCGGCTCAATAAATCATGGGATTTGTTGTCTTGAGCCTCCTTTGCCGAGGAGTATAGGAAACTGCAAATCCCAGGATTTTGTAGCAGTCAAACTGCATTAATTCTACAGTGTAGATCAGGCATGAGCAAACTTTGGCCCTCCTGGTGTTTTGGACTTCAAATGTAGGAGTTATTTATTTATTTATTTATTTTATATCCTATTTTTTCTCTCCGTACAGAGACTCAAAGCGGCTCACAATTAAAAACATTATAATACAACTTAAAATATAAAATATACAATAATAAAACAGTATTGTCATTATATATTATATGTAGTATTATAATTAATATTTTAGTATTGCTGGGTGTCTTCCTTGCTATCTTTTTGTAGACAAGTGAAGATCCTTTTCTTTCATCAGGTCTTTGAAGGATGATTGCACAGGAAAAAGGCCTTTCATGTACTGTGTTTTCTGTAGGGTCCATTTGTTTGAGGTGGTCTCTCCCTCGAGTTGTAAGCCACAGTCTTTCAACCTCCACAATAATGATTTAATCAGAGTTGGACAGTCTTATCTTAAATTACAGCTCTATGCAAATATTCAAAAACATTGAAACTATTGCTATCAAATTACCTCTATTTTATTTTTATTTTTGAAACAAGCTTGGCTACCTCATTTTACATCTGTCCCTTCTGTCTATTCCTTCAACTAGAATTCTTCTGTTTTCTGAGGGCCACAGCAATGCATGGCAGGGTATAGCTAATAATAATAATAATAATAATAATAATAATAATAATAATAATAATATACTTTATTTATATTCTGCTCTATCTCCCCGATGGGACTCAGGGCGGATTGCAGAACACATATACGGCAAATATTCAATGCCATTATACAATTAACAAGGATATACAGTACATAAACAGAGATATGGGCTGTCCCATCTTTTTCCATTTACAGCATCTGGAGGCTGTGCTCAACTCCGGCAACAGAGAAGTGCTGCTGCTCCATCTTCCATGCCGAGGAGCTTTGTTGTCCACAGATGTCCTCCTGATCGAATCGCTGGCATGTCCTTATTGGCACCTTTTATTACCTCCCCGCTTAAAGCGGTATTTATCTACTCAAATTGCTGTTTTCAATCTGCTATGTGAGCAGAAGTTGGGCTGATGGCAGGAGCTCACCCCGACCTGGGATTGAACTGCCAACCTTTCTATCGGCAAGATTTTCTACAGCTGGCAGTTTAACCTGCTGTGCTAAAGCCTGGCTCAAAACCAAAATTATATACTGTTATACAGAATTGGAGAGGAAGCCAATCTTGTTTTTTGATTTATACACTTTGGGTTTTTTGCCTTAAGTTAAGGGGTTATCTTGTAGAAGCTAGGCTTTGATACCACCCTGAGTCCCCCAGGAAAGATGGGGCGCATTACAATTACAAATAAATTGTTGTTGTTATTATTATTATTATTATTATTATTATTATTATTATTATTATTACATGGGGGCAGGACCTGAACCTGCTACTCATCATACTCCAGTGAGGAGGAAATGCTCACCGCCAGGTCTGTGATGTACTGAATGAGCCGCGAACGATACTCTTCGACCAGCTCCTTCAGTCGCAGCTGCAGCCGGGAGTTCTCCTCCTCTACTTCTTGGAGCTGGCTTTGAGAAGAGAGCAAAACCTGGCATCCAAGCAAAGAAAAACAAGAAAGTTTATCCTGAATATTTGGCAGCCCCTGTTTTGGAAGATTCTTAAAAATGTACATGTTCTGCAAAGCCAACCAGACTGCTTCCTTCTCTCCTCGTTGTTATTAATCAAGACACTTGTCTTCATTATGCTGTCATAAGTATTTATTTTGCACACTGCTGTGTTACTTTTTTGACTTCTTTTAGTATTTGTTAGTTTAGTATTCTTCCTCAGTGATTATTAATGTGGTTCAATTTGTGTAATGAAGTCTTTGGACATTTATTTTTTCTAATGCACAAGGTCCACTCTTAGGTCATATTGGCAAAGGTGGTATTGTGCATGTGGTGGCCTTGCCCATGGGTGCACACTCTGCGTTTCTATGCACACTGTGCATAGATATGCATGCACATTTAGCTGAGCATTCAGCTGCACAGTTGCCGCTTTGGTTCACTTACCCTCCAGCTGTCCTGGCTTGGCAAGAACGGCTCTGAAAAGTAAGCCGTGCCTTTGTCTGCTTCTATTAAAAAGTCCTAGTTTCTCTCTTCTCCCACTTTGCTGCATTAAGTCAAAGTACAAAACGAGATCTCACTCAATTACTTTGGAGCAGGAGGAAAAGAGAGACTGGAGTCTCCTTTTTCCCAGGAGCCCCAAACAAAAGCAAAGTGTGGCAGGCACTCCTAGCTTGCCTTTTCTTCCTCACGCATAACTTTTGCTCAACTTTACCCCAGTGTAACATTGTTTGGCTACGCATGTCTCTGTGAAAAGTTGGGTGTGGTCACTGCGTAGCACAATTCGTGCCTCATTCCACATGCTTCGCAACTTGGATGTAGGATTATGACCACTGCTTGGTCCTGTTTTTTCCATTCTTAAGCATGTCCTTCTTTTCGACTTCTGCCTTTCCATTTGAAGCTTTCCTTACCGCCGACTGCTCCGCAAGCTTGTGCTGCGTGCTCCGGATCTCCTTCTTTGCTTCTTGGAGCTCCTTCCCCATTGAAACCCTAGACATGCAAAAAACATGAGCAATCCAACAGAAGCTGAGCAAACAAACCTCAATAAGCTTCTGTGTGACATAAATTGGACTGCCAGCCTGTTCATCCAATAGCTTGAGGGTTGCCTTGGTTGGCAGGTATGAATACACACATTTGGATAGGGGCAAGGGGAATGTGAAGGAACTGAAATTTAAAATGTGCAACCCCAATTATCATCTTATTTGTGGTCATTCTTGTGGGGAGAGTGCCCTAGACAGCTTGAGATGGATAAACAGGTTGACATGTAATCCTATATGGTCCAGGATAACATAGTAGTTCCACATGCATAGCTGACAGTGGCATCATAAGAGGGGCATGCCGACGTTTCTAATACGTATGGTTTAAAAATACCTTTAAAAGAAGTTGTGTGACTAGTGGCTGGTGAAGGAAACCAAAGCCAAAGAGAATAATCTGGGGGATTTCTACCAATGAGGGATTAAGCTTTATATCCATCCATTTGCATGATCCACTTTGGGCATGACCCACTCCAGACTGCAGAATCGTAGTAGCTCCGCACCAGCTGCTATGGCTCCATCCTATGGAATCTTGGGGTTTGTAGTTTTTATGGCACCAGAACTCTTTGATGGAGAAGGGTAAGTATCTTTAAAACTACCAATCAATTTAGCCATGGCAGTCAGTGTGTGGTAAAATTGCTATGTGGCTATAGCCCTGGATGTGGATTTTGTTAATACTATGCAAAAAAAAAAAGTCATTTATATTATTTCATATCAGATGGTCACAGGTTCAAATCCAGGGAGCGGCGTGAGTCCCCACTGTTAGCCCCAGCTTCTGTCAACCTAGCAGTTCGAAAACATGGAAATGTGAGTAGATCAATAGTTAACGCTCCGGTAGGAAGGTAACGCCGCTTCATGCAGTCATGCCTACCGCATGACCTTGAAGTTGTTTATGGGCAATGCTGGCTCTTCAGCTTAGTAATGGAGATGAGAACCAACCCCCAGAGTCAGACACAACTGGACTTAATGTCAGGGGAAAACCTTTACTTTTTTACATATATTAAAATATATATTTGAGTGTGTATACACTCGAATTATGGGAGGGAATTGTTCTGGACTGTGCTTCCCATCAAACCTCACCATTAGCTGTGTTGGCCAGGACTACTGTGCCTTGCAGTCCAACAATACCTGAAGGACCTTGTGATCAAAAATCATGCTCTAGGTCAAAGGCAGGCTACGTTGGCCGTACTCACATTCTCTCCTCTAATTTCTGCTGCTGGGAGTTGTACATTTCTTTCATATTTTCAATCTCTCTGGTGAAGTGATCTTGGTTCCCAAAGAGCTGGGAGAAAGAGAGGAATTAATGCATCAGAAAGTATATTTACACATATTGAAGACACAGTAAACTTTATGCTGGATCAAACATTAATCTGTCTTCATTGCGTAAAAGATAAACTTAGCCAAGCAGCTGAAGTGTGGCATCAAAAACCAGTCTATTTCCAACAGAAACGTATCATAGCATAGCACTAGAAGACCTAGAAAATGTATAAAAAATATGTAGGGTAAGTGAAACTGTAGAAGTCATACCGTATTAATTTTTATCTAGTTTTGATCTCTTTTGGACAACTCAGGTTCCAGCTACACTGCATTATTTAGTCACTTTTATGATGCAGTGGAAATCCATGATATTATTTATTTATTTATATATTTACAGTTCCATCTTGTCTCCTGCACTGTGCTTATAATATAATATAATATAATATAATATAATATAATATAATATAATATAATATAATATAATATAATGTATATACATATAATATTGATAATATTATAATGTAATACAATTTACTACTACTACTAATAAAATGATATTATAATTATATCTATATATATAAAAATGCTCATGTCGTCGTGAGTGGCTTAAAAACAAAAGAACCACTGGGCCAATACCCACCAAATTTGGCAACAAAACTCCTTACCATACAAGGTGTGACCAACAATAATAAAAAATAACAAAAAACCAAAAAGAACTTATAAATCCTTAAGAAAAGGAGAATCCATCACAGCGCATGTGTGCAGCTGTGGGGGGGTGGTGCACTTGCATGTAAGAGAGCTCCTCCATCTTCTCGCAGCAGAACTTGTGGCGGCAATGGCTGCTGGGCCTCCCGGAGCCAGCCGCAGCTCCACCGAAATTCAAAATCAGAAACACCAGCCTGACCGACGGAGCCTCAAGCGAGGCAGGAGAATCAGGAGGCGGCTTCTTCACTCCATAGCAACTGCGCCTGGGGGAGGCTTGGCCCACCTTTCCCAGGAGCAGTTGCAGGCAAAGAGGACTCCTCTCCCTCCTCCCTGGCTGTTTTGGGGCTTCGCGTCCTCCGTCCCTCCCACCCTCCATTCCCCCCAAGAGGTCTCCCAGAGGCCCAGCACCAAGTTCCGCCCGGCCTTCCACTGCCGCACGCCTCCCTTCCCGAGCCCCGGCGCCTTCCTGGGCAGGCGGGCCTCTTGCACCCCCCCCCCAGCTTCCCTGTACCCCATGGGGCAGGCAGAGTGCTGTGATCCTTCCTTCCCTTATCTTCTGTTTTTCCTCCCTCCCTTTCCTTTCCTTCTTCCCCTTCTGTTTTCCTAACTCCTTCCCACCCTTCCCTTTTTTCCTTCTTTCCTTCCTTCCTTCCTTCCTTCCTTCCTTCCTTCCTTCCTTCCTTCCTTCCCTTCTTCCCCTTATCCTCTCTTTCCTTCCTTCCTTTATCTTCTGTTCTTTCCTTCCTTCCTCCCTTCCCTTTCCTTCCTTCCCTTCTTTCCCCTTCTGTCCTACCTTTCCTTTCCATTCTTCCCTTCTTCACCTTATCTTCTGCCCTTCCTTCCTTCCTTCCCTTCTTTCTGTTATCTTCTGCCCTTTCTTTCCTTCCTTCCGTTCTTCCCCTTCTGTTTTTCCTCCCTCCCTCCTTCCCACCCTTCCCCTTCCTTCCTTCGTTTCCTTCTTCCCTTTGTCTTCTATCTTTCCTTCCTTCCTGCCTTCCTTCCTTCCCTCCCTTCTTTCCCCTTCTGTCCTACGTGGGGTGAAAGAGTGAAGGGCCCGTCGCCCCCCCCCCCACCACAAGCAACTCCCAAATGTCAAGGTCTTCCCCAAACTCCACTGTGTACAAATTTTGCCATATTGAGTTTTCTTCCCAAGTTTGGTCCAGATTCATCTTTGTTTTGATTCACGGTACTCTCCAGATGTAAGTGGACTGTTATTATTATTATTGTTATTGTTCTTATTATTATTAACCTGAGCCTGGCTATCTGTCAGGAGTGGTTAGATTGTTCTTCTCCCATTTGCCAAAAGGGGCTGCACTGGATGGCCCCTTTGAAGTATCTTCCTATCCTACGATTCTTTTATTATTATTATTATTATTAGTAGTAGTAGTAGTAGTAGTAGTAGTAGTATTATACTGAGCCTGAATGGCCATCTCTCAGGAGTGGTTTGATTGTGCTTTTCCCTTAACCCAGAAGGGGCTGGACTAGATGGCTCTTGGAGGTCTCTTCCTACCATAGGATTCAATCATCATCATCATCATCAAGTTGAGGCTGGCCATCTCTTAGGAGTGGTTAGATTGTGCTTTTCCCATTTTCCAAAAGGGGCTGGACTTGATGGCCCTTGGAGGTCTCTTCCTACCCTACCATTCTACTATTCTCATCAACCAGAGGCTGCTTGGCCATCTGTCAGAAGTGCTTTGATTGTGCTTCTCCACCATGAGGGTAGAATAGGGTTGCCACAGAGTATGCCACAGCAACGCGTGGCCAGGTACAGCTAGTATTGTATATTAAATGTAATATTACTAATAATATTACAGTATAATGTTATAGTACAATGTAATATATAATATTAATATTGTGCTGTGATAATAATATAATATATTGTATTTACTTTTTACTTGTAATCTGCTCTGAGTCCCCTTCAGGGTGAGAAGAGCGGCATATAAATGTCATAAATAAATAAATAAATAATAAATACAGTAATTATATTCTGCTCTTCTCACCCCAAAGGGGACTCAGAGCGGATCACAGAATACATATACGGCATACATTAAATGCCGATTATACAATGACAAGACAGACAACATAGATAGAGGTTTATATAGGCTTTCCTATCTTTTGGCATCTTGATGGCTGTGCTCAGTTCCAGCCATGGGGGATGTGGTGGTGCTCTCACTCTATTTTCCCTGCGAAAGAGCTTTTTAGTCATAAACTTCCTCCTTTTTTGATATAATTGCCATGCCTAAATGCCTCCCTGCTTTAACGCGGTACCTATTTATCTACTCACATTTCTGTTTTCGATCTGCTAGTTGGGCAGGGAGTTGGGCTGATGGCCAGGAGCTCACCTTGACCCGGGCTTTGAACTGTCAACCTTTCAGTTTACTGCAGCTGCAGCTGGTGATTAATCTACTGTGCTAAAATCCGGCCTGATTCAAAGCAGGTACTATAATGCAATTTCCAACAGCATTATATGACAGCATGGATGGGGCTCAGTTATCGTGCTCATATGTAATGCTGTGTTTTGTAGTTGCATAAAGAATTTAGAGTCCCGTTGATGAAAGATCCAACTCATGGTAAAACTAGAGTATTGTCAAAGAGATCTAGCTCTAAAAAACATCACAACAATCATATTACTCACACTTTTCTCCAGTTTCTGCTGTTCATATTCTGAAGCCACTATGTCTTCAGGCTCAGGGGAAAAGACACAGAAAAGGAGCAAGTGTTAGATTTCTATCAGTAGAGGAGAGACAGAGTTTTTGAGAATGTGACTTTCGGTCCATGCAAACCACTTGAAGTAATTATTTCATTCACCAAGGACTTCAAGACCTGGAATGAAAGTCTGGTGTCTGAGAGTGGATTCCTTGGTTGGCCATGGATACCTATTGCTTAACTTTGGGCAAGTCACGCACTCAGAAAACCCTATAATAGAATTGCCATAAGTTGGAAAGGACCCGAAGGCACACATCAGCAATGGCAACCCAACATTTCAGGAAGGCACCAGAAGTCAGGAAAGTTCAGACACCAAGTCCAAGAATCCCTCATTCCTGTGATAGCCAAGCAGGCTGAGAGACTATGGAAACTGCTGTCCCAAAAAGAAATAGTTCCAAACTCTCGTGGAAGTGTCTGTTGGAATGGGTATTATTCCCACAAAGAGACATACCTTCACTTGGCGGGCAGAAAGACGCTGGACCAAAGCACGCACCCGCTTCAGCTCCTCAGATGGCTCATCCGTTTCAACATTGGGTTTGGGGAGATTGCCCCACACATGGTGAAGGGAATTAGCTAGGTTGAGTAACTCTTTGCTCAACTCCTCATTCTTAGCAATCTATAAAAGAGACCAAGAAAGAGAACAGGCTTATTAAGAAGACCGGCAATGTCCACACTCCATCACAGTTCGGATAGAAGAGCAAATGTGTTGCCATGAAAGACCCTACATCAGATATTTCCAAACTCTGTGTCACAACACACTATTGTGTCAGCTGCAGTATGAAGGCGTCTCCCACAGACATAACAAGAAATGACAAAAATCTTGGAAATGGTGGTTGTTATCTTACAAATCATCTTATTTTATGCCAACACTAGATGCCTATGCTATGGTTAGTAACCCTTACCTCCTGTCCATGTTCCTTGCCCAGTGCAAGGTAATTGCTCTTCAGCACAAGGTACTCATCCGCCAGCTCCTTGCGGCTGTCTTCAAGGGCCTGCAGGCGTTCTCGCAAAGCATTGCGTTCCCCAGCCATTTTCTCAGCATGAAGCTCGACTTCTAGAATACGATTTTCCAGGGTCAAAATCTAGGAAACATATGTGTTTAAATAATATGTAAACAGCCATGTTTTCATCCTTTGGAATCCTGAGGTTTTGTAGTATGGTCAGCGGCACCAAAGGAGTCACTCTGGCTGAGAAGTAATGACTCTCCCTAAACTGCCAGACCTAGGATTTCCTAGGACAGAACCATGGCAGTGAAAGTGGGATCAAAGCACAACAATCCTGCAGTGTGAACGGATGTAGAGTCACTATCAGGTGAGATCACTAATAAGGGCATGATACACAGCTACCATAGTCTGGCACTGTCCTGGCCTCTTGGTATTCTTTGGGGGAAGGAGGTGATGTTTAAGTTCACTTAAGTCAGTAGTGGTGATGCCAGATGGTTTGGAGGAGAATACGATGGCAATCAGAAACAGAAAGATTTTCATTCTGATGTATGCAGATGATCTAGTGCTCATCTCCTCTCTCTGTTGGGTCTTAAAAGTCTTCTGAAGGCTTTCAGAACCTACTGCCAAGAGAAAGATCTGTCAATAACTTACTCCAAAGCCAAGGTTATGGTTTTTGGCAGACACTGTCCCAGGTTTAAATGGTCTTTAGACCAATATGCCATAGAAGAAACCCATCTATTAAAAAAAGAAAAGAAAAATAATAAGATGGCGAGGAAGGAACATGTAGGACAAAGGACCCCATGAGGTTGGAAGGAAGCCACAAGGTCTCTGGAAGCAGACGTACCACATTTTTCAGCTCAAAGTTTTCTGCTTCGTGTTGCTCCCTCATTTTATTGGTCTGAATCTGAAAATCCACAAAGTCCTTGGAAATCTGGTGAAGAAACAAAGGAAGGAAGTTGATCTACTGCACCAACCAACCCTCTCCCCACCCAAACCCAGCAGAGACTAACCCTGAGGTTACATGGGGCAGCTCTGGATGTATGGCTATGGGGCCAGGTGGGAGCCAAATGAAGGATTTCTCCCTCCCAAATAAGAATCCTACCTTGCTGAGCTCACCTACCACAACACTAGCTTTCTACGGTGGTAGGATTGCAAGCTCCTAAGACTGCCTTAAGTACATTTGAGGTGTTAAACTTTCCTGACTGGGCTGGGTTCTGGTGGGAATGAAGAATTATGATCCGCAGTAGCTCAACGGGTTAAACTGCTAGCTGCATAAAAACCTGCTGACCTGAAGGTTAGAAGTTCGAAACCATGGATCAGGGTGAGCTCCCACTGTCAGTCCCAGCTTCTGCCTACCTAGCAGTTCAAGAACATGTAATGTGAATAGATCAATAGATATCACCTCGGTGGGAAGGTAAAAGGCGCCCCATGATGACATTCCGGCAAAACATGACTAGGAGGGTCTACACACAACAGGCTCCTTGGCATGGCAAATGGAACAAGAGCACCTCCCCATGGCCAAAATTGAGCATCACCTGCAGACGCTGGAGATGGATAAGGAAACCTTTGCCTTTGTTTGTATTGTATGTCATTGTTGTTACTATATAGAAGGCATTGACTGTTTGCCTATATATGTGTATACTGTAATCTGCTCTGAGTCCCCTCAGGGAGATAGGGCGGAATATAAGGAAACTGTATTATTATTATTATCACCCTCATCATCATCATCATCTCCATTGCATTACTCTATGCATTACCTTGAGTTTCTCCTCTTCACTGTGGATCAGTCTGGCGGAGAGGTTGGTCTTGGAGCCAGCCAGGCCTCCCATTTTTTCCTGCAGCTCTCCAATTTTGCTGTAGAGCCGTTCGTTCCTGTCTTGCAACTGGACCTGCTCCACAGGAGAACAATGTTGGTTTATGGGGTGATGAAGAAGCCTTGCAGTTCTCGTCTAAGGATGTTAGCAAATGAACCCTCTATTTCACTACTACAGTCACACTATCGTTGATAGGGGATATGTAATAGGTTGAACATCTTCAACATCACACCTCTCTTCCAACACTTGCAGTTGCCTTGATTTGCCAGTTCAAGGTCCTGCGATGGCACTTTGTGTCCTCATAACCCTGCTTTCCTACACTATCGTGTTACTTAATTATTTTTTCATTCTCATTTTTAGAACTTTGCATCTTCAGCTTTGAAAAATGGCCAAATACAGTTATAAAATATAAAATAAATAGAAAGTGGCCAGCTTGGGAATAATGAGGGCTCCTGGCCAAAGGGGGAAAAACCTATCACACTGAGGCGAATCCCAAGTCTCAACATAAAATCCCTTTATGTTTCTTATGCACCTCATACACATAGCACAGATGCAATTTTGTACCATTTTTAAAAAATGCACATGAAAATAAAGTTTGTGCACACTGAATCATCAGAAAACAAAAGTGTCAGTGTCTCAGCCACTGATGGGGATTATTTCTGGATTTCAGTATGCTTTGATTTATGTTTGCAGGTGGTAACCCTTTTCATAGAATCATAGTTGGAAGAAGACAGCACAAGAGCCATCTAGTCCAGGCATGGGCAAACTTCGGCCCTCCAGGTGTTTTGGGCTCCAACTCCCACAATTCCTAACAGCTGGTATTGTGGGAGTTGAAATCCATAACAGCTGCCTCGACTAGCCCAACCCCCCTGCCATGCAGGAAAAGCACAATCAAAGCACCCCCGAAAGATAGCCATTCAGCCTCTGCTTAAAAGTTCCCAAGGAAAGAGCTTCCACCAGACTCTGAAGCAAAGAGTTCCACTGCTGAACAGCTCTCCTTACAGTCAGGGAACAGCCTCCTTCTCTCCACCTTCTCTTCTGCAGGCTAAACATGCCCAGCTCTTTAATACGCTCCTCAGAGGGATTCATGGTCTCTAGACCTTTGATCCTTTTAGTCGCCCTCCTCTGGAGACCTTCCAGTTTGTCAATATCTCTTTTGAACTGCTTTGCCCAGAACTGGACACAGTGGGATTCCAGGGAAAAAGGCCTAAACAAAGCAGAATACAAAGACACCACGACTTCCCTTGATCTAGACACTAGACTGCTGTGGATGCTGCCCAAAATCCCATTGGCTTTTTGAGCTGCTGCATCACACTCTTGGCTCAGGTTCATCGTGTTCCCCACAAAGACTCCAAGATCTTTCTGAAATAGACTGTCAGATCTTTAAAGATGGCTCTCATTTCTCCTCTCAGCTTTCTTTTCTCCAAGCGCAATGTACCCAGCCCCCTAAACCATTCCTCATTTTTCAGTGTTACGTTTGAAGTTGTTTTTAACATGGATCAGTTTTATTGCAGACCCTCTCCAGATCCTTAGATATAACAATGTTTTCATCAGTGAATCATAAATCAAGCATATGACCCTTACGTTTTCATTGGCGAGGCGTTGCACCTGCTCCTGGAAGGCAGCAGCACCACTGTTTTGGGGACTGCTTCTGAACTCCATGCGATCCAAGGAAGGGGAATGGATTGGAGGTGGCTTTGAGCTGCTAGAAGCAAATCCTAGAAGAAATGGATTACAAGTGCATTTGCTGTCCCTCCCAAGGGCTTTTGCCTTGGGTTGCTATCAACTCTAGTTGTTACCAGGTGTGGCTTTTTCCTGGTTAATGACGCGAGTGAAAAAAAACCCGTCTTCTCTTGGGAATCCTTTGATAGAAACACAATCCTTGGCTCTTTGCTGGTCACAAAGACAGCAACAGCAAACCCAGCTTGGGCCTCATTTATTTATGTGTTTAGTTTATGTATTTGTATTTCCCTACTTGCAAGGTGGCTGTTGATGATAACACTCAGCTTGAAAACAAAATCTGACAGGAAAAGCAGACTTCCAATAAAATGAAAGATCAAAGGCAGATTATATTAATCAGGCAAAGGCCTGAGGGCAGAAAACTGAGTTTTTTAGACTTTCAATAAATAAATAACATTCCTTGTTTCTGTATGCTCTCTGTGTGCACCAGTGAGAACTGTTGTGCTAGTAATAACTACAAGGGGGCATTATTGAGCTGTTGTCATATTAGAGCAGCGTTTCTCAACCTGGGGGTCAGGACCCCTGCGGGGATCGTAAGGGGGTGTCAGAGGGGTCACCAAAGACCATCAGGAAACATAGTATTTTCCGTTGGTCATGGGGGTTCTGTGTGGGAAGTTTGACCCAATTCTATCATTGGTGAGGTACAGAATGCTCTTTGGTTGTAGGTGAACTATAAATCCCAGCAACTACAACTCCCAAATGTCAATGTCTGTTTTCCCCCAAACTCCACCAGTGTTCACATTTGGGCATATTAAGTATTCAAGCCAAATTTTGTCCAGATCCATCATTGCTTGAGTCCACAGTGCTCTCTGGATGTAGGTGAACTACTACTCCAAAACTCAAGATCAATGCTCACCAAACCCTTACAGTATTTTCTGTTGGTTGTGGAAGTTCTGTGTGCCAAGTTTGGTTCAATTCCATTGTTGGTGGAGTTCAGAGTGCCCTTTGATTGTAGGTGAACTATAAATCCCAGCAACTACAACTCCCAAATGACAAAATCAATCCCCCCCCCCCCCCCCCCCCACACACACACACACACACACCACCAGTATTCAGATTTGGGAATATCAGCTATTTGTGCCAAATTTGGTCCAGTGAATGAAAACACATCCTGCATATCAGATACTTACATGACGATTTGCAACAGTAGCAAAATGATGGCTCTGAAGTAGCAACAAAAATAATTTCATGATTGGGGGTCTCCACAACATGAGGAACTGTATTAAAGGGTCACAGCATTAGGAAGGTTGAGAATCACTGTAATAGAGAGATAACTGACTCAAATACTGGCCCTCTGCATCCATGGATTCAAACGTCAATGCATTCAAAATAAGTCCAAAGAAACAACAACCCCAAACCTTACTTTTGCCATTTTATATAAAGGACAGCAATTTACTATAACACTGTATATAATGAGTCTCGAGCATCCATAGATTTTGGTATCAGTGGTGGTCTTTGGAACAGTTGACATCATCTAACCATAGTGTTCCATTTCCACACGGTTTTGTCATTTTGTTCTTTAGTTGTTGTGGTTTCACAAAATATAAATTTTGGTTTGCATTCCAGCTGAAAATATGTAGTTTTATGCACACTATATCCTTTCCTATTTCTAAAGTCCCCAAGTTACGAACAAGATAAGTTCTGCAGGTTTATTCTTAAACTGAATTTGTATGTAAGTTGGATCTATCTATCTATCTATCTATCTATCTATCTATCTATCTATCTATCTATCTGCATGCTTTGGATAGTATAGGGAGGGGTAATGCCCCTGTGGTGTTTTCTTTCCTGTCTGGGCCCCTCTTAGCTATAAGTCATTTGTAAATTGGATGTTTGTAACTCAGGGACTGCCTGTATTGGGTTTAACAGTATGGCTGGCATCAGTTGGTGATACAGTCATATATCCTGCTTCCTATGTACAGTAGTGTCTCGCTTATCCAACCTTCGCTCATCCAACGTTCTGTATTATCCAATGCAGTCTGTCTCCTGCCCGGATCCACAGCTGTTTCAATACATTACAATGTTTTGGTGCTAAATTTGTAAATCCAGTAATTGCTACATAAATGTTACCACTTTTTCTTTGAATTGTTGTAAAACATGATGTTTTAGTGCTTAATTTGTAAAATCATAACGTAATTTGATGTCTAATAGGCTTTTCCTTAATCCCCTCTTATTATCCAACATTTTCGCTTATCCAGCGTTCAGCCGGCCCATTTATGTTGGATAAGTGAGACTCTACTGTACTTTGTTGGAAATTGTGGATGTCAGAAACTGTAAACCCATTTGTTGCAAATTGACCCGTGAAAAAATCATTGAGTGACCCATGGGGAGTGGGAAATGTCCATTAAACATCAGACTATGTCCCTATAGATGAAACCGCAATCTTCTGAGACCTCCTGAAGCTCACATATAAATAAAATGAAACACGGTGTAATACAATGGTGTCCCTTCCTTATATAAAAACATTTCATTTCACCCCATCTTTGTTGGTGACTTTTATAATGTCCCAGTGTCTGTCTCCTCCTCCACTTTCCCCTTCTGCCCTCAGCATATTTCAATTGCTGCAGATGGATTTCAAAGGGAAAACTGAGGCTGGATCTCCACGGCCATATATCCCAGGATCTGATCCTAAATTATACTGTAGACACATATAATCCAGCTCAAAGCAGATAATCTGGTCCTGCGATATACAGCAATGGAGATCCAGCCATAGTTTGCATCAACTATCCCATTGGGAGGAGATGAGAGGAGCAGCAACATCTTGCCTTTCCCAGTTGGGCTCAGACAAAAAGCAAACCGCTGCAACATCTTTTAGTTGGTGTATTTTTCCTCTTTAATAACTTTTGCCATCTTGATCCCATGTCAATATGACTTGGGTACATGTTTCCATCTGGGAAATATGTTATAGGGCATAGGCACATGCAAAATAATATTTTACCTGGAAAGAGGATAGGCATGGTTCTTCCTGCAGTATTTTCGTGATGCAACTGGCAACCATCGTCAGTGGTTTGACCCGTAGTTTGCAACCTGGATGGCTGCTTTGACATATTGAGGAAACATTTAACATGCCTCGGTCCAATTTATTTCTCTAGATGTTGCATTTATTTTTCCCCCTTTCCCCAAGACAAGTCTTAGATCAGCTCGCTCAAAGATACCTTAAGGAAACAGTCAAGAAAACTGTTTCCTTATAATAATCAGAAAGAAAGATAGCCTTCCTTAACTATTGGTCTCGATTTTTGAAAAACATTGTAATTCATACAATAACTTCACAGTGGTCTTCAAATTAGTGGACTGTTCAGCCTTAGCGGAGTCATTGTATATGCATTTGTTGTTCCTTTCCTGCCACCTTGTGTCTAGAATGGTGAATTGTATGGTTTGATTTTTAAAAGTTTGGTTTTTTTAAAGGTACCTTAAGAAGATTTGCACTGTTTATCAGCTCTCAGTCTCTCCCATAGCCGAAAACCCACTAGCCCAAGATCACTAGCCTATAGCAGAAAACTCACTAGCTTGTCTTCAAGTCAGGGTTCGGTAGAAAGGATGTGAGGCTGTTTTCCTATAGATAAGAGCCTTCCTGAGCTGGGAGGAGGGCTTCACAGGAGACAAATGCTTTTGTCAATTGCACATGCTTAAACACACACATACATGTGTGCCATGCAGGGTTCCCAGGCCTCAGGACTTAAGCCTTCTTTTCCAGCCTTCAGGGAGAAGGAATCCCAAGGCAAAAGTGTTGCCTTTAAGTACCTCATCACATAATGAATCCATTTTAAATCAGATTTCTGCCTCCTGCAGAATTCTGGGATTTGTAGTTTAAGGAGGAGCCTTTCACAGCCTCACTAAACTACAAAGCCCATAATTCTTCAGGAGGAAGAAACCAGATTTAAAGTGGATTCATTATCTAGTGTGATGAAGCACTAAAAGAATGCATCTTCTCTGTTTGTCTCCATCTCCACTGCCAAATAGATGTCAGGAACATTGAGATGGACTCCTCTAGAGCAGGCATGGTCAAACTTGGACCCTCCCTCCAGGTGTTTTGGACTGCAACTCCCACAATTCCTAACAACCTCAGGCCCTTTTCTTAAGTGGTTGAGGGGGGAAAGGAAGGGACCTAAAGCTGTTAGGAATTGTGGGAGTTGAAGTCCAAAACACCTGGAGGGCCCAAGTCTGCTCATGCCTGGTCTACACTGACCATATAATGCAGTCTCAAATATGCATTGCATGGCAGTGCAGATGGGGCACTAGTAAAACATGAGGGTGTTGTGTTGAAATGGTACACTCTCCACAACCGATCTTTTCCAAAAGGCCCAATCCTAATTGTTTTGTTATCATTGTCACCTGCAAACATCCTTTTCCAGGAACAGCATCCTTATCCAGGACAAGAACTAGGAAAGACTGATTTTCCCCCGGAGTCTTTATTTAAAAATATTATACAGTGAAGAGAAAAGAGTCCCATAAGCACATGAAGGAATCCTGATCGGACTGCCCTAGTGGACTGTTGCAGACCACCAAAGCAGGTGACTGTATTGTCAAAGGCTTTCATGGCCGGAATCACTGGGGTGTTGTGGTGTGGTTTCCGGGGTGCATGGCCAACGGGTTCTAGCAGCATTTTCTCCTCCTTTCATTTTGCCTGCATTTCTGGCTATTGGCATCTTCAGAGGATCTGATGGTAGTCAAGCAAGCGGAGTATATAATATACCTGTGGAATGTCCAGGGTGGGAGGGAAAAGACATTGTCTGTTATACAAAATTAAAGGGGTGCAGTTAGCAAGCTTGATTTGCAAGTGTTTGAGAGGGATCCATCCATTAGCATGTAAGAAGCTGAGAAGATAGCATAGTCAATAATGAGGGCATCCTTCTGGAAGTAGCCTGGCCTTTGTTTCTTTTGAACTGTTTGCTGCCTGGAGTCATCCTTGGCCTGGGTGGTACTCACTGGCCCTTGATTGCTTGCTGCTTGGAGGCCTCCTGTGTCTGGATGGCGTTCATTAGTTACTGTCTTGATTCTGGTGTTTCTCAATATGGGTCGCCAGATTATGTTCCTTTTCATGGTTTCTTCCTTTCTGTTGAAATCCTTCATGTGCTTGTGGATTTCAGTGGCTTCTCTGTGTCATCTGACATGATGGTTGTCAGAGTGGTCCAGAATTTCCATGTTCTCAAATAATATTCTGTACCCTGCTTGCTTTATTGTGTGTTCTGTTATGGCTTCATTCGAGCTCAGACGGTGTTGTATTTCAGTGTTGATGTTGACTTTTGTGGAGAGGTGGTTGCCAAGGGAGCGGAAATGGTCAACATTTTCTAATGTTACACCATTAAGTTGTATTACTGGCATTGCAGAGGGAATGACTAGTGGCTTTTTCTGAAAGAACAACTTTAGTTTTCCTGATGTTCAGTGAGAAGCCAAGCTTTTTGTGTGCTTCTACAAAGGTGTTTAGAGTGACTTGTAGTTCTTCTTCTGAATGTGCACAGACTATGTTATAATCAGCATATTGGAGTTCTATCACAGGCGTTGTTGTGACCTTGGTTTTGGCTTTCAGTCTGCTGAGGCTTGTCATCTGTTGGACTGAACTATCATAGACCGCCAAAGTAGAAGTGTTATTGATACTACTGTCCTAGCAGACTGTCATAAGCCACCAAAATGGTCCGCCCCTGGCCTGTTAGCCCCAGTAAGATGCTCTTGGCTAGCATTAAGCTCTTCCTGGCAGGTTTCGGAGGTCCAGTTGGCCAGGAGGTCACTAAAGTCCGGAGGGTTGCCATGGAGCATGCATAGTGGGCTGAGAGATGGCTCCTTCCAGAAGGATGGGGGCAGCTTTCGCCCGTGCATTGGAGCCACGCGGGTGTATTTCCTCTCCAGCCTCAGCTTCCTGTTGTCGGAGGAGACTTGCTGCTTGACGTACCCACACAAGCCATACTCAAAGAGCTCGGCCAGGGGCCCCAGCTTCTCAACCTCTTCCTGGCTGCAGAACTGCCTCCACAGCACCCCATCGCCTTGGCCTGGAGCCTTCGGAGAGGCTGGAGAGCCTTCGTCCTCCTCAGATTCCCTGCTTTGAGAAAGCCTGACCAAGTCGGTGTAGTACAACACCTGCCCAGAGAGCTTCGGGGAGCAGCCAGCCTCGTAGATGTTGCAGGAGCCTTCCTCTTTGCCTTTGCTGCCGAAATAGTTTTGGATGTCATCACTGATGCGCTCGGCAAAGTGAAGAAGCTGCTGTGTCATTTCTGTGCCGCTTGAGCTGGAAGCAAACACCTCTTTCCTTCCATGGCTTGCAGAACGATCGCCTTCTTCCATAACTTCCCTTTCTTCTTCTTCCTCTTCTTCATCCTCCTCTCCTCCTTCCTCCTCTTCTTCTTCATCCTCCATGTCTTCCTCCTCAGACAAGTCTTGGAATATCAGCTCTTGGCAGGCGGTTGGAGATAGGAACGAGTGCTGGAAGGCTGTGGAGAGCCTGAATTTGCTTAGGCTTTGGATGACGCCGGCTGCCATTTTTGCCCTTTGTGCTTGATTCCGTAGACTACATCACAGAAGGGAGAAAAGAAACAGTCAGCTATATAAAGGAACTGTTTTAATGTTTAAGCCATGGCATTCATTCTGCACTGTAGATGTACCCTCAGTCAAAGAAGTCCACTGCCAAAAATGTTCAATGCTCCCTCAATGAATGTTTGAAGTGGGTGTCCATAGTGCTACAATTCCCAACTGCAGCCCTTCATACGGCATGCAAAGGATGTGTTGTGTTTTTCAAAAACCTTCCCCCTGGTAAACAGAAACAAACCCTCTCGTCCATTGCATATCAACCAAAGAACTGCTTTCCTTCCTCTGAGTTTGCTAGATGAATTATGCTTTCAGTACTGTGACTCATTCAGTATCAACACCTGCTTCTACATTGATTTGCTGTCATCTTATTTATAGCCTATGGGTGCAACTGCACCATAGTTTGGCACCCTTTTAACAGCCATGGCTCAATGCTGTTGAATCATGAGAGATGTAGTTTCACAAGGTTTTAAGCCTTTTATGCCAAAGATTGCTGGCACAACATCAAACTCCATGATTTCATAGCATTGAGCCATGTCAGTTAATGTAACATCAAACTACACTAATTCTATGGTGTAGATCAGGCATGGGCAAACTTGGGCCCGCCAGGTGTTTTGTACTTCAATTCCCACAATTCCTAACAGCCTACCTGCAGATGCACCCTTAGCCATTATCTAGCCCATAGAGTTGTGGTAAGGAGAATATTGGGGAGTGGAGTAACCCATGGATAAGTCTTAACACAGCTTGCAGGTGCAATTCTTCTGGAACACAAATCCCAAAGTCTCATAAGAGGGGACATTCTGAGCATTGCAGTTCGGGGTACATCAACACTGTTGAACTAATGCAGTGCTAGGATCCCAGAAAACTACAGGTCCCATGATTCTCTAGCATGGAGTCATGGCAGTCAAAGTGGTGCCAAATTGCCCCTCAACTCTGGAACCCGCTGCCTAGTGAGATTAGGCAAGCCCTTCCTCTGGCAGCTTTTAAGAAAGACCTAAAAAACCTGGCACTTCCAATGTGCCTTTGGCGAGTGAATATATATTCCATTTTAGTCTGTCCCAATTACAGCTCCATCCTCATGATGCACTTTCCCTCTGCCCTTAATGAAGGTTTAATCCCACTGTTCACCCCTTTGAGTTCCCCCCTCAGAAACACATTCTCCCTAACTCATCCAAGGTTTTATCAATTATATCAATTTTACTTCTAGTACATTTGGCCTGCCCACTATGTCCCATTTCTCATATCATGTCATTTTGGAACTGTTTATTTTATTTTGTCATGTTATGTATTTTTGATGGTATTTTTGCTTTTTGTATTTTATTTTGCTGTACTTGCATTGTATTTTGTTGTAATTTTGGGCTTGGCCTCATGTTAGCCACCCTGAGTCCCCTTCGGGGAGATGGTGGCAGGGTATAAATAAAGTTTATTTATTAATTATTATTATTCATTTGACAGAGTAGACGCGGCCTCAGGCAACAACGTCAATAATTTGCCACTTATGGGAATATGGAATTCATGGTCCAGAAAACAGTTCCTCCTTGCTCTGTTGAGGCATATGCAATGCATAGTTCAGACTCCAACTCCTAGAATCCCCAGGAAAAGATTTGGAGAGCTCCAAAGCTCTGTGGCTTGAATTCCTTAGAGTAAAACCAGCAGGATATACATGTGAGACAGAGAAGAAAGGAAAAAAGAAGGAGCCTCATGCATTTTGATGCTTGGTTTTGCAGCATTTTGTTGTCATTGCCCCCACCTCCAGCATTGGCAAGACCAGACCCCCGCTTACCTGTGCGTGGCTTGCTTGTTCAGCCCCCCAGCGTCTCCTCTCCCGACTCTCCACCTTCCCACCTGGGGCTGAAGTATTTATAGTGAATTGGTGGAACTGGGGACTAGCAAATATTTGGCGGCTGTATTGTAATCGTAGCCTCTGCAAACAAGACTCTGGTTTGCTTTAGTGCCCAGCAACCGGAGAACACCGCAGACAAGGAGCCGGCAAGGACAGGAGATAGGGCTCACCTTAATGGCCCACTTCCTGGGGGATTTTCAAGTGTTATTCCTGCTCATTGGCCCTATTAGGCCTGCCGCCCCAGCTGCCCAGCCGCCTCGGATGGACGCAGGTTGACAGAGGACTCTTATCTCCTGCGTTGGTTTGGAGACTAAATCAAGCCTTGTCAAATAGGCGTAAAATTAAATTTCATGCTATTTTGACTTCAGGAGTAGGCATCATCTCCAGAAGAAAGTTAATGCTTCTTCAACAACTCATGTGCAAATAATAGGTGCCAGGCCAGAACCGGAGAGAGGTGAGCTAGCTGGCTGGCTGGCTGGAGGGCCAGGTCTTCCCATTTAAAAACATGCAAACGAAGCAGAAGAATAAAAATATATAGCAGATATAATACAGTGTTGATTATGGGAAACAATATTACTTTATTTATTTATTCATTTATCGTGTCAGAAGCTAACTGAGAATGCAGTTATAATGGCCAAAAAAACCCCTACAAAGTTAAAAACTTGGCATTATACTAAATATAGGTTGACCAGAAGTTGGGCACTTGGAGTGCCTCTGGTGTCGCTGTGAGAAGGTCCTCTATTGTGCATGTGGCAGGGCTCAGGCTGCATCGTAATAGGTGGTCTGTGGTTTGCTCTTTGCCACACTCGCATGTTGTGAACTCCACTTTGTGGCCCATTTCTTAAGGTGGGCTCTGTACCTCGTGGTGCCAGAGTGCAATCTGTTCAGCGCCTTCCAAGTCGCCCAGTCTTGTGTGTGCCCAGGAGGGAGTCTCTCATCCGGTATCAGCCACTGATGAGGTTCCAGGTTTTAGCCTACCACTTTTGGATTCTCACTCGCTGAGGTGTTCTTGCGAGTATCTCTCTAGATTTTACGAAGCTATTTCTGGATTTAAGGCATTGGCTTGCTGGCTGATATCCGAACAGGGGATGGGCCAGAGATGCCACTGCCTTGGTCCTTTCATTACAGGCTGCTACTTCCTGACCGATGTCAGGTGATGCAATATTGACGAAACAGTATCATTTCTCCAGCAGCATAGGGTGTAGACATCCTGTGATCATGCGGCATTCCTCATTAAGAGCCACATCCACTGTTTTAATGTGGTAAGATGTATTCCCCACTGGGCATGCATATTCAGCAGCAGAGTAGCAAAGCGCAAGGTCAAATGTCTTCGCTGTGTCTGGTTGTGATCCCCAGGTTGTGCCAGTCAGCTTTCGTATGATATTATTTCTAGTGCCCACTTTTTGCTTGATAGTCAAGCAGTGCTTCTTGTAAGTCAGACCATGGTTCAGAGTGACTCCCAGTTATTTTGTGTGCTGCAGTGCTCCAGTGGGATTCCTTCCCAGGTAATCCTCAGAGCTTGAGATGCTTGTCTGTTCTTAAGGTGAAAAGCACACGTCTGTGTTTTAGATGGATTAGGAATCAGCTGGTTTTTCCTATAATAGGCAGCAAGAGCGCCTAAAGGGTCGGAGAGCTTCTGTTCAACCATTTCAAAGCTCCCTGCTTGAGTGGTGGTGGCATGATCGTCAGCATAGATGAATCCCTCTGTCCCCTCTGGCAGTGGCTGGTCATTTGTGTAAATGTTAAACACTGATGGAGCACATACACTCTCCTGAGGGAGAATTATTAATTAAATCTGTTTGTTAGTGTTATACGTACAATGTTTACTCTCTATTGTTAAATATTTTAAAATTCTGCAATGCTTTGCAGCATCCCTTATCCAAAATACCTAGGGCCATAAATGTTTTGGATGTCAGATTTTGGAACACCAGCATTTGCACACATGTATGATATCTTGGAGATGGGACCCCGGTCTAAACATACAATTAATTTATGTTTCCTATAGACCTATAGATTCTCTGAATCACCGGTGCATCCAAGGCATCAAAAACTTTACTAGTTTCCCTCTGCTTTGCCACAACACATGAGAAGGCTAAGAAGAGAAGGAGTTGCTAGATTTGTTGGCATCAGGAAAAGAAAGGAAGGTGGGAAAGAAGAAAGTAGGGAGAACGAGGGGGAGAAAAAAGGGAACGAGGAGATTTGCCAGCACCCCCCCCCCCCCCCCCCCCCCCCCCCCCCCCCCAATGCCTTCCAAGTAAGAACCCGTACACATTTATCTCATTGATTTCTGTCTCTTCGTGAATGCTGCATGAATTAGTATCATTATTATTACAATGCAGGTTGAGTATCATTTTTATGTGAGAAACTGCAATTTGCTTCTGGTGTGAGAGAATTGGCTGTCTGCAAGGACATTGCCCAGGGGATGCCCAGATGTATGATGTTTTACCATCCTTGTGGAAGGTTTCTCTCATGTCCCCGCATCTCTTATCCAAAATGCTTGGGATCAGAGCAATCCCTATTTGCCCCCCGTCCCCGCACCTCCCCATTTTTGAAATATTGATATTTACATATGCATAATGAGATATCTTGGAGATGGGACACAAGTCTAAACATGAAATTGTGTTGTGGAAGGCTTTCATGGCCGGAATCACTGTGCTGCTGTGAGTTTTCTAGGCTGTATGGCCATGCTCCAGGAGCAAGTGGGGCTTATATATCTGTGGAATGATGTCCAGGGTGGAAGAAAGAACTCCTGTCTGTTTGAGGCAAGTGTGAATGTTGCAATGGACAAGCTTGATTACTACTGAATAGCCTTGCAGCTTCAAAGCCTAGCTGGTTCTTGCCTGGGGGAATCCTTTTTTGGGAGGTGTTCAACAAATGTTACGTTCAGCAAAGAACAAGAGGGATCCTCTCACCTCTGCAGGATTCTACCGTATACCATGCAGCTATGGACAAGCCTACATAGGGACCCACAAATGCGGCAGCATTGCCCAGGCACGAATCAAGGAACATGAAAGGTACTGCAGACTAATTCAATCAGAGAAGGCAACCATAGGAGAGTACTTGATGAACCAACCTGGACACCACATATTATTTGAGAGCACAAATATCATGTCAGACCACACAGAGATGCC